AGAGGACCCAAACAAGGTCTCCCTCGCGGAAAGGACATGGAAGTCGACGTCGGTTAGCTTGCTGTTGCATGCGGATTTTAGCCTTTTGCATATTCGCACGGGGTTTGATCAGCAAGTCCTGGTATTTCTGAACGAAAGCGGGAGAGCAAGGGACGTCTGTGTCGGCGGCCTGTGGCAGAAGGAGATGAGCGAAGATCTGTGCTTTCTCTCCACCATGATGTAGCTCGAATGATGTGACACAGATCGTCGGGTGCACCGAAGTGTTATAGGCGAACTCGATGTTGGGAAGCCGGTCAACCCAATCTTTGTGGTCGGGACGGATGAGCGTACGCAACATCATCTGAGCGGTCTGGTGTGCTCGCTCCGTCTGGCCATCCGAGCTCGGCTTTATTGTCGTACCGGACTCAGCCATAAGGGAAGTCCAAAAAGCCGACATGAAGCGAGTATCTCGGTCGCTCACTATGTCTTCCGGAACACCCTGGTTGGTAATCCAACCGGTGTGCAAGAGTTGTCTGGCAAGGCGTCGCTTCTCATAGTCGGCGAAGATAAGGGGTGCAGAAGTTTGCAAGTCTGCACTAGAGATCCACCGAGTGTCGTCAGGCGCACATTGCTTGAATGTGACTTTGAACAGGATTGGCTTGTTGCCATACTTGCGGTGCGTGATGACTCGGTCAACTTCCTGATGTCCGTCCATAGAACGCGGATCCTGTGATCGACGCCTGGGGAACTCGTCGGCGGAAGGTGGCGTGTAAATGGCCAGCTTCGACGTGTGGAAGGCCCGGTGCACTGTAAGGTGCGGAGGAATGTTGACCACAAAGAAAGGACCTACGGGGTCGTCTCCAATGGCAGAAGAGACTTCCCATGGTCCGAACCATTTCGGAAGGAGTTTGCGCGAAACATCCTGCTCGAGCGCAAATTYCTCGGAGAGGACCCAAACAAGGTCTCCCTCGCGGAAAGGACATGGAATTCGAGGTCGGTTAGCTTGCTGTTGCATGCGGATTTGAGCCTTTTGCATATTCGCGCGGGCTTTGGTCAGCAAGTCCCGGTACTTCCGAACAGGAGCGGGAGAGCAAGGGACGTCTATGTCGGCGGCCTGTGGCAGAAGGAGATCAGCGAAGACCCGTGCTTTCTCTCCACCATGATGCAGCTCAAATGGTGTGGCGCAGATCGCCGGGTGCACCAAAGTGTTATAGGCGAACTCAATGTCGGGAAGCCGATCAACCCAATCTTTCTGGTCGGGACGGATGAGCGTACGCAACATCATCTGAGCCGTCTGGTGTGCTCGCTCCGTCTGGCCATCCGTCTGCGGGTGCCGAGCCGAGCTCGGCTTCATTGTCGTACCGGACTCAGCCATAAGGGAAGTCCAAAAAGCCGACATGAAGCGAGGTTCCGGTCGCTCACTATGTCTTCCGGAACACCCTGGTTGGTAATCCAACCGGTGTGCAAGAGTCGTGTGAGCTCAGGCGCTGCAACATGATACTTGCAAGGAAGGAAGCGAGCATTCTTGCTCAAGCGGTCAACAACCGTGAGAATACCGTCATGGCCATGACAATCGCGGGGGAACGGACCTGTCACGTCCATAACAATGGAGAGGCACGGTGCCCGAGGAATAGACAACAGTTTCAGTTCGCCAAAGGGGACTCGAGATCGACCCTTGTTACGGTGGCAGGTGTGCCGAAAGTCGTGCATCATGGAATTCGCCGAGAATACGAGTCCGTAAGATGCGATCTTGGGGCACAACTAACAAGTCCTTTCCTCTAGTGTGAAGGAGAAGGAACCCGTCGGAAATCCGATAGTGGCTAGTTGTCGGGTGATCCGATGAAAGCTCCGCGTAAAGAGTAGAGTAAGTCGGATCGGACTTGTAGCCTTTGACGAAATGCGGCTGCAGATCGTCATCGAGGTCGAATGTCGTGGTCACAATGGCACAAAAATCGGGCCGTCGTGAGAGGGCGTCCGCAGCTCGATTGGAGGGACCGGGATTGTGACACGGGTCAAAGTCGAACTGGTCGATGTAATACATTAATCGACCGATCGTGCTAGTAACCGTATCCTGCGTTTTGTAAAAGGTCAACGGATTGTTGTCCGTATTCCATTTAAAACGTCGATGGCCGAGAAGAAAGTGACGCCACCATTTGAGAACGGTGACGAACGCGAGTAGCTCTTTCTTCCTAGCATCATCCAGAGTGTTGACGAGAGACACCTTTTGGGAGAAATACTCGCCCGGATGCCAACCGTCCTCGTGACACTGTTCCATCACCGCACCAATACCATATCCTGAAGCGTCCGTAGTCACTTGGGTGGGAAGGGTGGGGTCGTATATACGGAGGGTAGGTGCGGCTTGCATCGCTGCCTTCAACGTAGTGAACGCACCACAGGCTGTGTCGTCGAACTCGAAAGGCACCTTCGGGGACTGAAGTTTCGACAAAGGAGCGGCCACTTTCGAGTATGACTCGACAAATCGCCGATAATATCCAGCCAAACCCATGAAAGAGCATACATCCGTCGTGCAACGGGGTTCCGGCCAATCCACGATGGCTTGGATGTTGTTCGCTAAGGGACGAATGTCTTTCGGCGTGACAAAATGACCCAAGTACTCAAGCTCCTGCTTGGCGAACTCGCACTTGTCGAGATTCGCTTTGTACTTGGTCAGTCGCAAACGATCCAAAACAGCGCGAAGGTGTACGATGTGCTTGTCCAACGTCCTACTATAAACCAAAATGTCATCGAGGTAAATGAGGACGCTGCGATTGAGCAAGTCGTGAAACTCGGTCGTCATAGCTGCTTGGAAAGTCGCGGGGGCATTGGTGACGCTAAATGGCATGACAACCCATTCAAAATGCCCGTAGATAATCGATGCATAACCGTAGATCTTTGTTCTTCTTCCGGACGAAGAGAACAGGGGCACCATATGGCGAGCAACTAGGGCGAATCCAGCCCTTGTCGAGAAGGTCATCGAGTTGTGCACGAAGCACCTCGAGTTCCTCTTCGCTCATGGGGTAGATACATCCACGCGGAGGGACAGCGCCAGCCTCGAGAGTGATCCCGTGACGTATGGGCCGATCGGGAACCATTCCGGTGAGAGCCTCGAAGACGTCTCCATACTCGTCCAAGAGGTGAGTGATGCGTGGGTCTGGCGGTGACAAGGCTGGTCTGTCCGGCGAGGGGAGAGCATGCAAGAATACAAGGCCCATCTCCTCGACGTCATTCCGAGCTATGGCGTTGGGAATTCTTGCAACGGAAACCACGTGACAAGCAATCGAAGTGTGAGGGGTCGCGACCGTACATGGGACTAACACTCCATTCCGATCACGGATATGAACGGTGCGGTCATGAAAGTTCACCGGATGATCGGCGCTACGCAACCAAGACATGCCTAGTATCATGTCGAACTTGGTGTCAAGGATGTCAAAGGACACCGGCTCGCACGCAAGTGGCGCAAAGTATACCGGAACGCCATGGACGCATCGGTCAATTGACTTTTGCGTGCGGCCGTCTGCGAGTAACGGTGTTTTCGTTAAAAATGAACTGTTTTGTAAAAAGTGACCATAATGAAATTAACGAAGTAACCGAACAAAAGGTAAATTGTAGAACAAAAAAAATAAGATTTTAATATTCCGGCACAATGTAAACCTGGAGCAGAAAACTGTCCAAATGATTAGAATATAAACGAAAAAAAATGACATCGTATGCGAAGGAAAGAATTGCGAAATTTGTAAAACCCTTGACACATTTAAACAAAGAGCAGCTCTCCAAAGTCCAAGTCTTAGACCTTAAGTTGCTTCAAACTATAAGAATACCCTTCATATGGAGACCGTGGAAGGGAAATTTAATGCAAAAGTCCATTGGCAATTATGTTAAAAGCAAAGCAGTGCCATTTACATCAGCTCAATGGTGCGTCAGACTCTATTAACTCTTAAAATTACACATTGTCAAAATCTTCGTCAAAGTTTACTATAATTGAAATCAACTTCTAGGCACTGCTAGATAACATTCAAACCGTTACGATATTCTAAGGCTACTTGAATCAGATCTAAGTACGTAATGGACATACTAACACGATCTGCGTGATAAATTTCACGCTCTCCTCATGTGAATTGTCCAATCTTCTACAGTGCTCGTCTCATTGTGCCCATCGAATGTGGGGTCCTTGTACTCTACATAATTTTTTATGACTTCATACTCTCGCAACAGAAGACTTCGTAAATATGTAATCGCTGTGTCCACGAGCCCATCCACGAGTAGTTTGAGCGACCGTTGGTCCATGATCCTCCTTCCAAATGCTTCCCGTCTTCGTCCGTCGATGTCATGTGCATTGGATATGTTTGCACTTGTAGAATGATCGTTATGAATAAGAAAAGAAAGTTTGCAGCGCCCTTGGATACTTGACGCTGCACAGTAGAAGGTCATCACCTTGAAGTCATTGTGGTAGAACTTTAATGCTGAATAGTACAATTCTGAATACGGTGCGAGCACTTCTCACGGATATTCTCTTGTTCCACAACACCTACGACCACAAATATACAAACATTGTCGAGGATAATGCTCCCAGCAATCTGGTGCGACATCCACACCTCTGACACTGAGTACTGCACCCTCGAAAACCACTTCAGGTGTGAAAAAGATAGACCCCATATCATGCCATACATTTCTGCCCCACACCATATTACTTGGCGGCCATCCAATCGTTGAATGAACCATTCTGCAACACATGAAATACAGAAGCAGTAAAAGACAAACCAATGATATATATTTTAACTATATATGAATGGAAGCTCAATGAAAAGTAAATGGTACACCAACACGCACGAAATGACGCCTTCTCAGCGACTTGTCCTATTGGTCTTCATCATCTGGAAATGAAAGACATGCCAAGGCTTTCTCTCTGACCGATTTGGGAATGTGCACTCCATTTTCCAAATGCAACGTCCTTGATGACCAGCTCCATAAAACACAGTTCACGTGCTGCCACTGCTGTGTTGTTGTGCTATCTTTCTTCCATATCTTATTCCATGCATTTGCATATTGTAGAGAAACATTTTTAACGACAGGTTGTGACACCCAATATTCAATAAGAACATGATTGAAAGCAGGCGACTTCCTATCGTTGTCAATATTAGAAATGACTCTACCCATCCACACGGGAACTCCCTGATCGATATCATCTTGCGAAGGACGCAAGAGAACGAATTGACAATTTTCGACATCCACAACCGGGTCGAGCTCTACTTTTGGACGCTCATTAGCTGGCCCAACAAACAACGGCTCCTTATTCTAATTGCTCTGCAAGAGGAAGGCAATATCAATATCCTCAGCATTGTCCTTCGTAATTCTGTCCCGCGAGGGCCAAAAACCAGCCTTGAGTGATATTTTCGCAAAGCCAGACCCATAATTTTGCTCGATTGTGTCCAGGAAAGTTTTCCAGTGTGAAAGAGCACTCTCCTTTGAGAAGCTAACCTCATCTTTCATTCCCAACCACTCGTGCCGCTTGTTTTCCAACCACTCAACAAACGTCTTCACGCCTTCAATTCCTGATTTGAAATCTGAATTCTTATCCTTAGCGGGTTGACTACGTGATGTTTCTATAACAGGTCGAAAAGGTGACGGGAGAACAGGTGAAGGCTCGAATGACCATTCGGGTCCAGCATATGCTTTATTTTCATCTCGTTTAAAGCAATAGACTGGAGAAGACCAATGCGGAGAAGTGCAATACTCTTTCCACTGGAACACAGGATTGTCATCCTCCATATAAAACTTAAATAAATGTTGCTTTGTATGACCAGTCAGTCTGTTGACCAGGAAGGGCTTAACAGCTCCCCGCCAGTCAGCAATTTCATCCATGAATGTGCACAAAGGACGCTCGTTTTAGGAACTGGCAACAAGTTTGAACAGGTCGAGCATGGTATAAGCATCGTGCATTTTCAGTTTGCGAGAGAAATGACTGAAAGTGGCATCAACATCCGTATGTGTATAGCCTACCAACATAAAACCGAATTCGACTTCTTTGAAGAAGCCAAATTTCACTAAAGTTGCGGCCAAAGACAAAACGTATTTGTTTTTGTTTTCCCTCCTGCAGTTGTCGGCTTGTATCCTCAATTAAGGAGGTCAGTCGCTTGTCGCCAGTATGTCACGCAGAACTTTCATAACGGATGACACCACAACATTGGAATCATGTGGATAGCAAGGGTGACATGTGTGAACATGCACTGATGGTGAACGGGCGTGTGCGATAAAAGCTGTTAAATTTATTTTCATAATTGGAATATTCGCGAATGCCTTCGACTTGTTTTCTCCGCCGAAGTCTGGAATGCTCGTCTTGCTTTGGTCCATACCGTCAATAATGATGCATAAACTGTTGGAACCTGGTCTCTTCAACTCATCCTTCCACACCTCATAAGCAGCACGGTGTTGGAGCTGCAAGTCCATGTGTTTGTCGCGTTCCGAAACGAAATAATCACGCACGCGTACGAACTTTGCAGAATTGAACTCAACACACTTCTCGCATTTCGCAAAGTTTTGATCAACTTCATGGAATTTCACATGCCAAAAGTGTGTTCTCCACATGTTATAGAAAACTTGGAGAGAAAAAGAAGGGACACCCAGGTTGTCAAATTGTGACTTCAACAACTTATAAATGTCAACCTTGTTATAGCAAGCAGGCAATCTCAAAACCACTCGTGATTCTCCATCTTTGATGCTCATGTCATTGGGCATGGAATCTCCATTGTCACGCACAAAGGAGCTTAGTTTGCCGAACATCGTCGCATATGTTGCAGATGTGCGTCTGAGTCCAGTGCTGCCATGCTCCGGCATAATGTAATATTTTGACAAAGTCACCCTCTTTTTCAAAAATGTATTCTTGCACACACCCAGTGTGAAACACCATGCACTAATGCACACCTTTCTTTTCCCCAGAATAGGTTGCACAATCTCTTTCTCATCTTCCACGAAGGTGAACCTCCTTAGCGTTTCAACCCACCATGCATCTCTACTTTTGTGATCCTTACAGTAATATGCACTCCGGACAGCTTTGATGTCTTCCATGGTCATGCGAGCGCAACAATCTTGTTTACAACAAACTTGTCCGCGCACACTCGCCAGTGCTTTTTTGGTGAGCTTTCTGTGAACTGTTTGCAGAATCTTCTTTGACCGAGGCATTCTGACACGGAAAGTATAAGGACGCTTCTCCGACGACAAACGTTTGGGGAAAATGTCATTTAAATCAGAGATGACATCAGAACTCTCCATACCGTTGTGACAGTAGTGGTCAGTACCATTATCATCGCAAGGTTGTGGATGATCAATTTTGTCTGGAGAACCGTTGGCGTCAGATGACATCGAAGCACCAGATTTCGAACCATCTTCATCACTCTCGCCAAACACAAGGCCTATGCCCTCGAAATCTCGTAGCGAACTTCTCGGCACCCACATGATACGATCTACATCGGATGTGTTCCTGTCACCAGAGGCGGCCCTACCCTGACCTTCCGAACCTTCTGCATCAGAGGTTTTCACTGGCCCGCCCAAGGCTGGAGATGCACTTTCGCATGTGGTTTCTTCACAGTGTTCACACGCAGCCATCCGGGACCTTTTATGATCAGGAGATTATGGAGTTATTTGAACGTCTTGTGAAAACATTGGCAGGTCCATGGGAGGAAGCTCATCACTAGGCAGTATATTAGATGCCACACAGTCCATGCTTTCCAAAGTTCTGCTGGCAGCTTGCCGCGGTGCATGCCCACCACAAGCCATTTAAAACGTTTCAGCGATGACAAAATAGTGGACCACTGGCACAAGACATACATATCAGTAACAAATCCGCAGCTAGATGGATCACATGCACTATATGTAGAGTGCAACACATGTGGTTCAGCGCCGCCACTGCTAGCCATACACTGCCGATGTAAGGCCTGTGAATGCGGAAAAAAGTACAATCTTCAACAGAAGCGATGCACGAGAGACACGACGACTGGTTGTCGTGTTGAACGCGATGATCTCCCGCCGCGGTCGTGCCCAACACGACGGCGCATCA